GTGTGCACATCACAGAGGATCTCTCCTGGGCTGACAACACCACAGCACTGGCCAAGAAAGCACAGCAGCGTCTCTACTTCCTCCGCAAACTGAGAAGAGCCAGATCCCCGGCCCCCATCATGTGCACCTTCTACAGAGGCACCATCGAGAGCATTCTGATGAGCTGCATCACTTTGTGGTATGGTGCCTGCAACGCATCCTGCCGCAAGACACTTCAGCGCATAGTGAGAGCAGCTGAGAAGATCGTTGGTGTCTCTCTCCCCTCCCTCCAGGACATTTACAACACCCGTCTCACCCGCAAAGCCCTCTGCATTGCAGGTGATCCCACCCACCCGACACACAGCTTCTTTAGTCTGCTGCCATCAGGGAGGAGACTGCGGAGTCTCTAGGCCAGGACCAGCGGACTGAATTCCCAGTGAAGCTGAGCTCCCTCCCGACCTTGCCCCCCCTCCCCTCTTTTGCCCCACGCACCACTGAACTCTGACCCTCTGACGGACTCTCCCACTCCCCCCTCCCAAATACACACACACGCTGTCACTTTAATCAGTCCGAATAAGCTCTTTTGCACTACAAATCATTATATCTGCACTGTTGTTTACTTCACTGGTTTGCACTCTATCTGCCTTACATTTTACCTTATTTGTATATTTGTATAGTTGTATTTTATATTTAATCTGTATCTATCTGTATTTATGTTCTACTGTTAGTGTTATCGGTATGCACCAAGGGTCTGAGAGTAACGCAATTTCAATTCTCTGTGTGTATGTGCTGTACATGTGGAAGAATTGACAATAAAGCAGACTTGACTTGACTTGACTTTCAATTCAAAATGGCGGAATTTGACAAAAGAAAAAAAAAGGCGAATACTTGATAATACAGTCGAGCCGACTGTTGCTATAGTAAGTAATTATTACATTCAACATTAACAGCAAGTCAAAAGGGGTAAGCTTTCAACTGAACTGCAGTTTGGACGCTTATATTATGCTCGTATTATGCCCATGCCCATATTATGCTTATATTATGCCCATGCAATGAACGCACGTTATTTAATGATGTTTCTTTTCTTTTCTTTTAGAACATTAAAACTGTTCAGGTAATGTCAGTGGTAGGCTATGATACATATTCGTGTATTAAACTCCTCGTAAGTCGCAAACTCCCCGTGATAGCGCGCAAATATTTCTGCCCGTTTTCGCTCGTTGTCAGCCTCTGCGTTTCTGCAACAGATTGAAGCCTCCGCGTGAATTCAGCGCACCTTGCATTCAGCTAAAAGAAAAATGGGTAACACTTTAGAATAATGGTCCGTTGTTAACAAGTAACTATGCAGGATGTGTATAGGCAGTACTACATTAACATTTAACTTAATACTATTAACTAATAGAGAAGCAAGATCAAGTAAGCAGTAAGTAGCAAATTTAGGACAAAGGAAGTTCCTTATTAGATATTTGATAATTATTAAATAAAAATATCCTCATTGAGAACTACTTGTGAACTATGACCAGTTAATAAAGAATAACCAATTAATTACTAATCACAACAGTAACGTCTTAAAAGTGAACAATTGGGTTCTTTGTGGAAACTAATTTATGAATTTGATATCCCCCAAATAAGTCTTAAAATTGTGACTACTACTCTCACCAAAGGATGGAAGTTCAAACTTAAACATAGACTATTAATAAAAATGAAAATTCATTTAAAAATTTTAATAATTACGAAGTGATGCTGAAAAGCTCATGATTGAATTAGTTCACAATTATGATCAATTATGATCTGCTTCGTGTCAGTTCAGTATCAATGTATCCCACTCCAAAAGACCTACTGGTAAAATATAACTACTGCTTCACACAAATGTATGACTGTACAGTATGTCAGATATAAAATATGTTAAATAACTTATTAATTTACTTGTGAGTAATTACTGAGGGGTTAACGTGTTTTTCACTTTAAAATAATGGTCCAGATCACTAGTAGTTCCTTAGTAGCACTTTAGCTTTAAAGTGAAAAATACATTAGCCTCTCACTAATTTATGGATATCAAATTCATAAATTAGTTTCCACAAAGAACCCAATTGTTCACTTTTAAGACGTTACTGTTGTGATTAGTAATTAATTGGTTATTCTTTATTAATTGGTCATAGTTCGCAAGCAGTTCTCAATGAGGATATATTTTTTTAGTAATTATAAAATATCTAATAAGGAACTACCTTTGTCCTAAATTTGCTACTACTTACTGCTTAGTTAATCTTGCTTCTCTGTATTAGTTAATCGTATTAAGTTAAATGTTAATGTAGTACTACCTATTACTTCCTGCATAGTTACTTGTTAACAACGGACCATTATTCTAAAGTGTTACCAAAAAATGGAGTTATTTTATGACTGTTTGGGCAGTCTCAAGCTATATCTTAAACTTCTCAAAATACAGTCCGCTTCAGATTAGTTTTAATCTATGCACAAGAAATTTTACGCAATCTTTATCTAATTCTGATTGGGTGGGCAAGACAGTCATTTGGGTGGGCTTAGTCCACCCCTGCCCATGCCTGGAGCCGGCCCTGTTTAGGTTCTCCAGGACCCAATGGAGAATGGGCAAGACTACGATATTAGCAATTCCTTACTTACTGGGTCATCCTTACTTGGAAAATAACCATTCTAACAGTACTCACACGTAGCTGTGGTAATGAAAATAGATAGTGCCAATATAAGCAACTTGAAAGGAAAAAACAAGCAATTATTGGAAAATCCAGATTGCAAAAAACTATTGACTGGCTGGTCAGAACATGGGGCGATCTTATTGAGATAAACAAGGCTTGTAATTCCCTCATTCCGTGCAGTGCTTGCTCAAAACAGATAGAGGAAAAGGGGGGGGG